GCACTTGGTGAGCAGAGGCAGAACCGCAGAGCAGAGGTAGCGGTTCAACGCCAAGGCCATCTCGGTGGTGCTGAAGGCCACCTGCAGTCAGACGGGAAACGGCGATCCCATCAAACCTACAATCAAATCCAGCTGATGGGATCATTCCTGGGACTTTTCAGTTCCTTACTGTATCCAGAGAAGCTGCAGCTCTCATGTCGGGCAGGAAGCCGACTTCCAGCACATGGAGCAGGAAGTCCTGATTGTCGATGCCGTAGACTCTGTCGAGGAACAGCACCATGGAGGCCTTGTGGTCCGGCACAAAGCTGGCAGACATCTTTGGCTCGATGATCTGTCCGTCTGCGGTTTAGGGTCAGGGTTAGGGTGCTGAGGCCACTTTCTAAAACATCTCCAACAACCAGGCTGTGTCTGACCTTTTCCATAGGCGGGAATCTGCACAGGCAGGCTGATCACTCCCACCAGATCCTCGATGGGCACCAGAGATCTCAGGATGGCTCGGATTCGCAGAGCTTCTCCTTTTCCTGCTTGGATCAGCTGGTAAGAAACAGAAACAAAGACGTTTTCGTGAGTCTAAAGCCGAGCAGCTGCTTTAGGAACGCTGAAAAGGTTTCGCCTCACATGCATCTCAGGAGCGCAGCGTCCCAGCAGGTCGATGAGAGCGGAGTAGAAGGACATGATGGCGTTTCCCAGGTGCACGCGGTTCTCCTCCTGCTGTCCCTCACCTCCAAATCTGCCAGTGAAGAAGGAAGATGACACCTAACAGTTCCAACGAGCTCGTTCTGGTCGATCCTCCAGAACTCACATGAACCGGCGGTCTTTCTTGACCGTAGGTCCGTCCCTCGCTGGGTCCTCTGAGATCTTGATGGCCTCCTCCATGGCGGCCAGCAGCCCGTTGCCTCCCTCTCCTCTGAGGGCCGGGCCGAAGCACTCGGGCCGGCGGATGAGCAGACGCACCACCACGTTGGCGTTCTCCTCCACGCTCTCTCCTGGAACGAGCAGGCGAGCAAAGGTCGGTGACCCCAAACCCAAACCCAAACCAGTACCACCTCAAACCGTTTCTGACCATTCACAAAGACGGCAAAACGCAGGAAATCCAGATACTTCTCCCCTCCGCACGGGTTCCAGCCGATGTCGGGGTAGCCCTTCGACAGGAGCATGGGACAGCTCCGCAGCCCGCAGCCGGCCAGGTACGTCACCACCTGCATCACCACGGAGACTCACTCAGGTCACAACTCCGTGACACTTCCTGTCTAACATCATCTAGCTTCTGGATCTAGCTCAAACCATTTCCAGGTCCTGCTCTTGCAGAGCCAAGGCCAGCTCGTTGTTGTCGATGCAGGAGGCAGCGGCCACGTCCAGGGGGGTGGAGCCGCTCATGCCTGAAGACAACACATCAGCTCAGTTTCACGATCAGAGCAAAGTTTACTGGGTCGAGTGTCACGTTTCAGCTAAACGCGTAAAATCAGACGCGGAATGTGAGGAAAAGGCGCTTCCAGCTCAGAAGCGTCTTCGTTTCCGTCGGCTAACGTTTTTAACTCGGGGATGAGTAAAACAAACGCACCCAGGCCGATGCCGCTGTTCTGCAGCAGGTAGTTCAGATGGTCAAACATGGAGCGCTGGTTCTGCCGGCTGATCCGACAGAAGTAACAGAGGAAACGACAGCAGTTCGTCACCATCTGGGGGAAGCGGATCTCCTGAAGGGGAGAAGAAAACACGTTACACCTGAGCCCGTCTGACGACGCGCTTCAGAGCCCGACGTGAGACCCGATAACTCACCTTAGAGTCGCCTCCTCCACCCAACACGTTCACCATCACCTCCATGACGGTCTCGTGCATGCCCAGGGCTCTCATCAGGTTCGGGTGCTGGTAGAACACCTTGTTGTTCATGATGTTCCTGAAAAAAGTCAGAACATTTGATTCCAGCTTCTGAAACACCAACTAAAGCAGCGACAACCCTGAGGGGGACGTTCCACCGACCCGATGCTCTGGATCATCAGCCGCTCCTCTTCGGGGCCCATCTGGACGATGAGCAGCGAGCGGATCTGACCCAGACACTCCAGAAGGTCCATGGTGTCCTGCACAGACACGGCGTTGATGGCGTAGGCTTTGGGCAGAGCTCGGATCAGCTCGCCGAGCCCGTCGTACTGCCTGTGGAGCAGGCTGAACATCAGACGCACAAGTTCAGGGTTCTGGATGAACGACTCCTGGGCCCAGTGGATCATGGTGTGGGAGATGAGCTCCTGAAGGGTGCCTGGGCGGAGCAGAGATGATTCCAGACCAGGTTTGTTATTTTAGAACGAAACTAAAAACAAATGCTTACTCAGTTTGGGTTCTTCCTCCACTTCTGGCTTCTCCTCCTCCTCCTCCTCTTTCTTCTTACGAAGGCTCTTCACCTTGTCCACCAGACTGAGAAGTCTGCCTCTGAGGGAGGTGTCCACCTCCTCCTCCTCCGCCTCCTGCTCGATGTGAATACCTAAAGCAGGGATGTCCCGGTGACCTCCAGAAGCACAAACGCGGTGACCAATCACACCCGCAGACGGAGGTTCTCACCACAGTGAAGCAGGATGTCATTGTGGAAACTCGCCAGCGTGAGTCGCACCTCCTCGGGAACGGGACACTCCTCGTCCTCCGGACCGTGTTTGAAGTTGGTCAGCAGAAGAACCTGAAGAGCCGCAGAGTGAGACGAGAGCTTCAGCTGGTCTGAGTCTAATGTCACGGTCGTGGGCCGCGATAGAACACGGCCAGGTCTCCTAAAGGGACATTACGGAGTTTTGAATTTTTATGCTCGTGACTGCCCCCTCAGGCCAAAAGCGTAACGGCAGCTTCAATGGCAGGCTTGTGCACGAGGCGCGCATGCTGTACGTGCACACTCCTTAACGAAAATAACAGCTGAGACAGTCCTTTGTGTGTGTGTGTGTGTGTGTATGGGGGGGGGGGGGGGGACAGAGGACAGGAGAACGTGCAGCTAATTAATTAAATAATTTGGTTCTGTAGCTTTCTCTTCAGCACAGCCGACAAAGGTTGATGATGGGTCAGTCCTCCTGCATGCTCAGATCATTCCCTTCCCTTGCTTGAAAAATTGTTCCAAAATGAAAGTTGAACCCACATCTTTTTTATCTGTGAATTCAATGCCGTTCGGCGAGTCTCAAATAAAAATTTAGGCATCTTACTGTAAAAAAATATACCATTAATGTAAAAAAGAAACTCTAAATAAACTATGTTGACATCCAGAATCAAACCCAGGTCTTCTGCACGGGAGTCAGACATCTTACTAGGTGAGCTAAAGCGCCAGTGACGTCACGTGTATCTGTAGCATTTATATCCTTGATGACAGCTGAAACAACGTTCAAAGAACGGTTCGGAGTGAAAATGGCTATTTTGTTGCTAATTAGCAGGAAATATCTAGAAGAAAGTTCTACAGAAAGTAGCTAAGGGTCCTCAGAAATGTAGCTAGCTTTGTCACTAGGCGTTAGGAACAGCGACAAAGTGGCACTGCCTCTCTCTCTGCTGCTAAAGCTACGGATAGCAAATGCTACGGGCGATGCCTGAGCGTGAACGCGCATGAAGCAGCCTGCTCGACCCGAGCATCTCTCTTTTTCTGTGATTTTACAGAAAAACAGGCAATCACAGTAAAAATGCCAGGGCTCATTCTACAGGACCAGGGCATTGCAGGAGAACGTATGAAGAAGACATTTATTATTTCTATACATGTTTTGGCTGTCAGACTTCCACAATGCCCCTTTAAATTCTCCTCAGGAATTTTTATTCTCTAAAACGGTAAACGGCCTGTTTTTGTACCCTTCTCAGGGTTCTACAGCCCCCCAAGGCGCTTTACAATACAATCAGTAATTCACCCATTCACACGCTGGTGGGGATGTAGCCACAGCTGCCCTGGGGTGCGCTGACAGAGGCGAGGCCGCCGAGCACAGACGCCACCGGTCCCTCCAACCACCACCAGGAGCAGGCATGGGGGCTAAGTGTCTTGCCCAAGGACACAACAGCAGCATTGTCTGGTCGGAGCCGGGATCGAACCTGCAACCTTCTGATTACTGGACAACCCGCTCTACCTGCTGCCGTTCCACCGCTAAAATAAAACTAATCCTCAGAGTTTGCAGGATCTGTAGTTTAGGCTCCGCCCACAAAACCTGTTTCAGAGCAAACCAACTTCCTGAAAGATTTCTTTAATATTCATTAAAAAACAAATTTTCTCTCAAAACTTTTTGTTTCGATACAAAAGTTTCGCTTTCATTTATTTTCAAAAACCGGACGTTTGTTTGCATTGCTCTGAAACAGGTTTTGTGGGCGGAGCCTCGCGGTGGTAATGGAAGCCTGCCGTCATGGAAGAGGCTGTTCCAGTCACTGAGCGCCCGTCCACAGACGCGGCGGCGCACAGAAGACGAAGGCGGAAGCGGTTCTTTTACGGCCCGTAACAACGTTCCGAGGTGAAGGCCCTGGAGAACCAGAACGGTTCCTTTCTACCCGGCGGCGCCTGTACCTGGTCCTGCGGGGGGGACCGGAACTCGCGGGTCCTGCGGGCCGTCTCAGCGGCCGACATGGTGAAGGCCCTCATCAGCTGGTTGTAACGAACTCGCTGGTTCTTCTGAACGTCCTGGACGAAGTTGTCCGAGTAGGCCACGATGGTTTCCACTCGGTGTCGGAGCTCGCAGTCACAGAAATACTGCAGGAGCGTGCACATCTGGAAGAGAAGGAGCAGAACCTCAGAACCTCCTGGGATCTCGGCTTCAGATGTCGACTTCAGCTAAAAGGTGAAAAACCTGCAGTTTGACTGATTCTGGCAGCTTCATCTGAAGGAGGCCCTCCTCCAGACCCTCTTCTTCATCTTTGGCTTCTGCCTCCTTCTCCTCCTCTGCTTTCTCTCCATCTTTACCTTCTCTGGCTGCTTCCTCCTCCTCTTTTTCCTCCATCTCACCTTCCTCCTTAGGCTCAGCCTCTCCCTCCTCCTGCTCTTCTTTCTCCAGCTCTTTCAGCTCCACCTCCTCCTCATCGCCAACACCCTCGTCCTCAAGCTCCTCCTCCATTTCTTCCTCCTCGTGCTCCTCGCCCTTGGTAGTCCCACCCTCCTCAGCTTCCTCCTCCTCCTTCCCGCTGAACACACTGGGGTCGATCATCTTGAGGATGTGCATGGTGTCCTCGTCGTTGAAGATGCCGATGATGAGCAGCGTGCTGATGAGCTTCAGGATGGGGACGAAGTGGAACTCAACACTGCCACCTACTGGATCCCTCATGGCCTGGCTGCCATCCAGCACAGCCTCCGTTAGCATGCTAATGGCTCTGGTTTTCAGCTCCTGCAGCAGAAAGAAAACGGAGGAAGAGAATGAACCAAGAACCAAAAAGCTCTCCATCCTTTGAGCTTTTGTTTTGTGTTTTACCTGGAGAGGAAATACAGGACTCAGGGTGTAAATGTCAGGGTCCGTGCCAACAAAGTTGATGGAGGAGAAATGGAGCTTTGGCCGTAAACACGTGGTGAGGCCGACGCCGGGCAGAGAGTGGTCCTTCTTGGTGTCGGGATAGAGCTTGATGCTGAGAGTCTCCTCAGTCATGGGAACGATGAACTCCCTGTTGGTGCCCAGGCGTGCCCGCTTGGCCGACTCCAGGTGAATGCTGATGAGCAGGTCGTAGTAGCCGCTGCGGAGGGGCCCAGGTAGGTAGGTGTTCTCAGTGGCGTAGAAGAGCTGGGATTCGTCCACGTGGCTGCACAGAGCATGAGCTACTCGGTTGTTTCCCAGCGCACACACGGCGCAGTACAGCATGAGTGTGTGGTAGTGGAACTTCATCAGATCCAGACGTTCCGAAAGCTCCAGGATGTCGATGCACCTGGAAAAAGGAAACTAGATTTCAGCCCTGAGCCTGTAGCTGCGTGAAACACCAGGAACCAGAAGGGTGTCTGACCTGTTCTCCTCGGGGATGTGGAGGGCCATCATGATAAGAGGTTCAACACACTCCACCATCCACCCCAACCTCTCACTCACTTTGCCCACCTCCGGTTTCAGGAAATTATTGGGCATTCGGCTCCAGATGACAGGAGTCAGCATCTGGACGTCCAGCCTGGGAGGGCACTGGGGAACGGAGTTCATCCGTTCGCTACGGAACATCGCCGCCGAGATCGGCATGATGTTCTGTTACCAAGGAGACAACGAAAGAGGAGTTTACGATCATCATTAATATTCTGCAGAACGTTTAAGACCTTCAACACGTGTGTGTGTGTGTGTGTGTGTGTGTGTGTGTGTGTGTGTGTGTGTGTGTGTGTGTGTGTGTGTGTGTGTGTGTGTGTGAGAGAGTGTGAATGTGTTTGTGTGTCTGTGTGTGAATGTGTTTGTGTGTCTGTGTGTGTGAGTGTGTGTACATGCATGTGTGTGTGTCACTGTGTGTGTGTATATCTGTGTATGAATGTGTTTTTGTGTGTGCGTGTGTGTGTGTGTGTGTGTGTGTGTGTGTGTGTGTGTGTGTGTGTGTGTGTGTGCGTGTGCGTGTGTGAGAGAGAGAAGGTCAGGCCTCATTAGGGCCTGAAGCTGTTTCTGACCCTAAGTTTTCCGAGCTCCAGCTGCGCCATGTTCTGATTGGTTGGCTGAATGAAAACTGCAGGAAACAGCTTGGTGTTGGGCTCCACCTGAAGGTGAAACATAACTCGTTAGGTTTAAACTGGCTTCTGAAAACATAAAAACACATGAACATCCATCACCTGGTAGAAGGTGTTGATCTCTTTTCCGTTGGCGGTAAAGGTCATGAGGCCCGTTGCCAGGTCGACCAGGCAGCCAATCACCATGTCCTCCTGGCTGAAACGGGTCTGCTGGTTGCTGACCAGGTCTCCTCCCCACACCATGTAGCAGTTACTGTGCTTCATACTGTAACAGCCAGCAGACGCAATCAGCAGTTACCTCACAGCGTTGCGTGTTCAAATCCTGACTATGGCCTTCCTGTGTGGAGTTAGCGTGTTCTCATCGCATATGTGTGGAGTTACCGTGTTCTCCTCTACTGTGTGTTGAGATAGTGTGTTCTCTAGCATGTGTGGAGTTAGCATGTTCTCCTCTAGCGTGTGTGGAGTTAGCGTGTTTTCCTCTAGCGTGCGTGGAGTTACCGTGTTCTCCTCTAGCGTGTGTGGAGTTACCGTGTTCTCCTCTAGCGTGTGTGGAGATAGTGTGTTCTCTAGCATGTGTGGAGTTAGCATGTTCTCCTCTAGCGTGTGTGGAGTTAGGGTGTTCTCCTCTACCGTGTGTGGAGTTGGCGTGTTCTCTAGCATGTGTGGCGTTACCGTGTTCTCCTCTACCATGTGTGGAGATAGTGTGTTCTCTAGCATGTGTGGAGTTAGCATGTTCTCCTCTAGTGTGTGTGGAGTTAGGGTGTTCTCCTCTACCGTGTGTGGAGTTGACGTGTTCTCTAGCGTGTGTGGAGTTATCGTGTTCTCTAGCGTGTGTGGAGTTAGGGTGTTCTCCTCTACCGTGTGTGGAGTTGACGTGTTCTCTAGCGTGTGTGGAGTTACCGTGTTCTAGCGTGTGTGGAGTTAGGGTGTTCTCCTCTACCGTGTGTGGAGTTAGCATGTTCTCTAGCATGTGTGTAGTTAGGATGTTCTCATCACATGTGTGGAGTTAACGTGTTCTCTAGCATGTGTGGAGTTAGCGTGTTCTCACCACACGTGTGAAGTTAGCGGGTTCTCCTCTAAAGTGTGTGGAGTTAGCATGTTCTCCTCTAGCGTGTATGAAGTTGGCATGTTCTCCTCTAGCGTGTGTGGAATTAGTGTGTTCTCTAGCATGTGTGTAGTTAGGATGTTCTCATCACACGTGTGGAGTTAACGTGTTCTCTAGCATGTGTGGCGTTAGCGTGTTTTCTAGCATGTGTGGATGTAATAAAAATGAACTTGTCATCTGTTGTATAATTGCTTTATATAAGTTATTGATCACTACTGTTTGTCAATCACACCCATCATGAGGATGTAATCAAGGGTAATCATGGTAGAGCCGAACATAATGTGATCATGAGGATGTAATCAAGGGTAATCATGGTGGAGGTGTGCAGCTTTGCACGCACATCAGTGGATGTATAAGGAGCAGAGCAGAGCTCAGGTGGTTAGAGCTGCTTGAAGGATTCTACCTGACGAGGTTCATGGATTACATGTGTTCAGTTCTTCACCTATCATGGATTACGTTTTCTAACTGGGGTGTTCAGCTCTCCACCCATAAGCAACGGTAAGAGAAATGTTTTGTTCATGATTGATAACTTGTATAAATGCCGGTTGAATAAAGCCTTGTTGTTCATCTGATATTCAAGTTGTGTTTCATTGTTTCTGGCGTCGACTTGACAACGATCCTGATTAAATAAATATAAAGTCTAAAAAGAGACTTTGAGTCTTTTAAGGTAATTAAAATAAAATAAAACATTTTATTCTAGAACAGTGGAGTTAGCATGTTCTCATCACACATGTGCGGAGTTAGCGTGTTCTCACCACACGTGTGAAGTTAGCGGGTTCTCCTCTAAAGTGTGTGGAGTTAGCATGTTCTCCTCTAGCGTGTGTGGAGTTGGCGTGTTCTCTAGCGTGTGTGGAGTTTGCATGTTCTCCTCTAGCGTGTGTGGAGTTAGCATGTTCTCCTCTAGCGTGTGCGGAGTTAGCGTGTTCTCCTCTAGCGTGTGTGGAGTTAGCGTGTTCTCTAGCATGTGGGGAGTTAGTGTGTTCTCCTAGCATGTGTGGACTTAGCGTGTTCTCCTCTAGTGTGTGAGGAGTTAGCGTGTTCTCCTCTAGCGTGTGTGGAGTTAGCGCATTCTCTAGCTTGTGTGGAGTTAGCATGTTCTCCTCTAGCGTGTGTTGAGTTAGCATCTTCTCCTCTAGCGTGTGTGGAGTTAGCGTGTTCTCCTCTAGCGTGTGTGGAGTTAGCGTGTTCTCCTCTAGTGTGTGTGGAGTTAGCGTGTTCTCCTCTAGTGTGTGTGGAGTTAGCGTGTTCTCCTCTAGCGTGTGTGGAGTTAGTGTTCTCCTCTAGCGTGTGTGGAGTTAGTGTTCTCCTCTAGCGTGTGTGGAGTTAGTGTTCTCCTCTAACGTGTGTGGAGTTAGCGTGTTCTCTAGAGTGTGTGGAGTTATCGTGTTCTCTAGCGTGTGTGGAGTTAGTGTTCTCCTCTAGCGTGTGTGGAGTTAGCGTGCTCTCTAGAGTGAGTGGAGTTAGCGTGCTCTCTAGCATGTGTGGAGTTAGCGTGTTCTCTAGCATGTGTGGATTAAGTGTGTTCTCCTCTAGCGTGTGTGGAGTTAGCGTGTTCTCCTCTAGTATGTGTGGATTTAGCATGTTCTCCTCTAGCGTGTGTGGATTTAGCGTGTTCTCCTCTAGTGTGTGTGGAGTTAGTGTTCTCCTCTAGCGTGTGTGGAGTTAGCGTGTTCTCTAGCATGTGTGGAGTTAGCATGTTCTCTAGCATGTGTGGAGTTAGCGTGTTCTCCTCTAGCGTGTGTGGAGTTAGCGTGTTCTCCTCTAGCATGTGTGGATTTAGTATGTTCTCCTCTAGCATGTGTGGATTTAGCATGTTCTCCTCTAGCGTGTGTGGAGTTAGAGTGTTCTCTAGCATGTGTGGATTTAGCGTGTTCTCCTCTAGCATGTGTGGAGTTAGAGTGTTCTTGAGCATGTGTGGATTTAGCGTGCTCTCCTCTAGAGTGTGTGGAGTTAGCGTGTTCTCCTCTAGCATGTGTGGATTTAGCGTGTTCTCCTCTAGCATGTGTGGAGTTAGAGTGTTCTTGAGCATGTGTGGATTTAGCGTGCTCTCCTCTAGAGTGTGTGGAGTTAGCGTGTTCTCCTCTAGCATGTGTGGATTTAGCGTGTTCTCCTCTAGCATGTGTGGATTTAGCGTGTTCTCCTCTAGCATGTGTGGATTTAACGAGTTCTCCTCTAGCGTGTGTGGAGTTAAGACTGTTCTCTAGCGTTTGTGGAGTTAGCGTGTTCTCTAGCGTGTGTGGAGTTAGCGTGTTCTCTAGCGTGCGTGCAGTTAGCGTGTTTGCAGCTCTTGTTTAACAGATTAAGTTGTGTCTCAGAAAAGAGAATAGGACAGACTTACCTGTCGTGGATGTTGCCTTTGTCATCTCCCACGGTGACTGTGACACAGCGCACCTTGGAAAGGTCAAAGGTCGGGTCATATAGATGGAAGTCAGGGGTGACCCAGCCAATCCAAGCACAGGACGGCTCCTGGCCAGCAAAGATCCTCACAGAGTAGTAATACTAACAAAAGAAGAAACAAACATCACGATTGGTGCTGGATTATCTACAGATTACAGAAACTTGTCCCTCTGTTCTCCTACAGTGGTGGTGCTCAGGATGATTTCAGGGTCGTCTCTGTCATCAGGAACCACGTCCTCCACCAGACGAGGAACCGTCGGAGGAGCAGGAGGAGGGGCCAGAGGCGTCATGGCAGCTTTTTTGGCTTTAGAGAAAAATCTGTTTCCCACAGAAGAGAAATCCCAGATGTCCAAATTAAAGGAGCATAAACACTTCACCTAAAAACAAAACAGGAAAAGCTGCTGGCTCCTTTACCCTTTCTTCTTCCCCTTCTCCGACATCGCATCCTTCTCATTTTCCACAGAGACCTCCTTCGGTACCGATGTCTCATTCTTCTCATCCTCCTGCTCCTTGCGGCTGGCGGATTTCTTTAACACTTCGAACTCCGAGTCCGGCTCCACCACCACTACCTCCTCCTCGGGGATGGTGAGAGCCCGTGTGAGCGGGGTGGTTCCGGCCTGGATCTTAAAGGTCTCGTGGAACTGGATGGGCATGCTGAGCCTGAGGAACATCATGTCGGTGTTGGCGTTCTGCGAGCCGAAGGTCTTGTGGGTCAGCTTCAGACAGGGGGCGCTGTCCACCGTGCCGTCCACGCGGGAAACCTGAGCGACGGCGAGTTCAAACACAAACCAGTTATTTAAATTAAAGAGAAGCGAACGCGTCGGTGATGAGTTACCTCGATGTGACTGTGGTCGGTGGGCACGGGGACAAACTGAGGCAGACTTTTACTGAACCACATGGTGATGTCTCGCTTCATGTTGATGGCAAAAGGCTCAAATCCCTCCTGCAGGCCACAGATGGCAAAATAGGACAGGCTGCTGACGTTCCGACCAAGATTGATCCTTCCGACCTGAGACAGGCCCAGTGCGCACACGGGGATAAAACCTGAGGGGCACAACCCATAAATTATCTGTTTTAGCAAAGAAATGTGAACATTTCTTCCTTTTCATGAACGTCCTTCTGAATCAGGTGCTTTTAAAGCCCACCTTCTCCGATTTCGATGTCTTTGAAAGCCATTTCTGATCCCGAGTCGCTGATCAGCATTTCTCCGTTCAGCGTGAACATGATGTTCATTTCGGTCAGGTCGATCATGCAGCCGACCACGTCGCCAGACTGCCACTGGCGCCCAAACGGCTCATTACCAATGTGCCATCGTTGAGCCTGGAAAAGGACCAGAGCAGGTGAAACACCAGTAAAAACAACGAGCAGGAACTTCGGCTGCATCCTGATTAGACGGGGGCTCGAGGCCAAGGACCGACCTTATTGCCGTTAAAGACGTAGGCCAGCTCGTCGGCTCCCAGTTCGGTGTCGGAGCGGACGTTGGGACGGGCCCAGCCTACTCTCATCTCTCCGGTGCTCACGGCTTCAAACTCAAAGTACCACTTCCCCTGGGTGACAGCGTACGACTTCTCTGCCCTGAAGATGCGTACTTTATCTCCCCTGGTGTTCTCCAGGCCGTGGCCGGCTGCGTGGAAACAGGTGAGACGGTGAGGAAAGGCTTTGTGTCGGAGAATCCCGACGCCAGCCCGGGACGGCCGGACTTACTGCTTTCCTGGTCTGGAGGCTCGATGTTGTAGCCGTAGCCGATGAGCGTACGGACAGCGTTGTTGACGCTGTCGCGGTTGGTCTTCTTGGTTCTCTCGTCCAGCAGGTTGTACGGCACCAGACGAGGGTTTCGCTTATTCACGATGTCCTGAGATGAGACAGTTTGTGTGAACTCACAGATTAAAATGCAGGAATTATATCACGTTCTCTGAAAATGGGCACCTGTACTATGCTGTAGGTCCATCCTTGTCGCACGCGGTCCCTCGCCCAAACATTATGCCCATTTTCTGCCAGTTTCTCTACCAGCTGATTCTGGTTTGGTGTCAGTTTGACGTGGCTCAGGTCGAGGGGGGCCGGCTTGTAGCCGTTGCTCATCACATACCTGGAAACGCGATTACGTTAGATGAGCACGAACACCAGGTAGGTGGAATAAATGCTTCTTTTCATACGTTTTAGGCAGCTTGATCTTCTTGAGGTTTTCTTCTGCTTTCTCATCTCCCATACCAACATGGCAACCCAAGGCCAGCAGTGTCCTGAGGGGAGACACGCAGGTGAGCGTCTGACACCGCTCAAACTCAGACTGCAGCACAAACAAACTTCTAAACTCACTTCAGCGTCTCCCCTGACATCTGCAGGTTGTAGTTCTTCTCTGGTTCAGGCAGACTTTGGAAGTCCACCAAACAAGGATGAAGCTTCTTGTTGTCGTCCCTGAACTGAGGGGGGAGCATGTTTCAGTTAAGAGCTTTAGACAGATTTGACACCTCAAAACACCAACGAGTGACTTTGTAAAGATAAAACCGAGAGCTGTTAATAAAATCTGATGTTAGTCGAGATCTGGACAAGTGGGGGAGTAGAGGGAGGTGGAGTGTACAGTCGGTAAAGACGGCTCTCCCTTGCCCTGCCTCCAACAGCTGGAAGTGTGTGTGTGTGTGTGTGTGTGTGTGTGTGTGTGTGTGCGCGTGCGTGTGTGTGTGTGCGTGCGTGCGTGCGTGCGTGTGTGTGTGTGTGTGTGCCTGCTCTGTCTTCTCCATCCCCAGTGAGTGGTGGAGGATGGCTGCTTATACTGAGTCAGGATTCTCTGGAGGTTTGTTCCTGTTAAAAGGAAGTTTTCCTCTCCACTGTCGCCAAATGCTTGCTTAGTATGAGGATTGCTGTAAAGACTCTACACTAGTCAGTGACTCGATGCGACCTGCTGGGTTCCTTATATAGGAAACTTGTTACTGATTGGCTCAATGACCTGACCTGTGTTGGGATGTTTACTGTGTGAAGGTCCTTGAGACGACTCTGGTCCTGGTTTGGCGCTTTAGAAATAAACTTGAACTGAATTATTTAGGTATCTCCACGAATCCAAGCGCCTGATTTCCAGGTTGAAGTACTGGCTCATGAAAATAAAATACAGACTAAAAAAGTGCTTACCTTGTTTTCATTTTTAATCATTTATGTTTTTGCCCCTCGAGATTTTCATCTTGAGATGAACCATACAAAAATATTTTCTTCTTCTTCCATTTTATCATATGTTGTAAGATAGCCCGAGACAGGCCCTGTAATGTCTGATACTGCCTAATATAACACCAATAGCAGCTTCAGACCCATCTCTAAACTTCCGTTTATCTCCAAGATCTTGGAAAAGGTTGTGGCTAAACAACTCACAGCTGCTCTTGATGAACATAACATCTATGATAGCTTCCAGTCAGGTTTTCGTAGAGCTCATTCTACTGAAACAGCTCTTAGGGTCTCTAATGACCTTCTGACCCACAGTGATGCAGGGGACTGTTCTGTTCTGGTCCTGCTGGACCTGACTGCAGCCTTTGACACTGTTGACCATCACCTGCTACTGGAGAGGCTGAGAGACTGGGTAGGCCTATCAGGATCTGCTCTGGAGTGGTTCTCCTCTTATCTCTCTGAGCGCTCCTTTTCTGTGGCCGTCTCCAAGTTTAGGTCCTCCACCACCTCTCTTACCCATGGTGTCCCACAAGGTTCTGTGCTGGGACCTCTGCTCTTCCTCCTCTATCTGCTTCCTCTTCAGCACATCCTGAGCTCCTTCAAAGGAATCTCCTACCATCTTTATGCAGATGACATCCAACTGTACATCTCCTTTAAGCCCCATGAGATGTCTAAGCTGCAGCTGTTACACACCTGCTTAGACTCTATCAACACCTGGATGGTGGGAGCTTTCTTCAGCTGAATGAAGATAAGACTGAGATCCTCATCTGTGCCCCAGACAAGCTGGTTCCCAAAGTCAGAGACTCTCTTGGTCAGCTTGCTTCTCACACCAAACCTTCCATCAGGAATCTTGGCGTGACCTTTGACCCAGCTCTCACCCTGGATTCTCATGTCAGATCTCTTGTTCGCTCTTCCTTCTTCCATCTCAGGAACGTTGCTAAGCTGAGTCCCATTCTGTCCCGCTCTGAACTTGAGTCAGTTCTCCACACCTTCATCTCCTCACGCTTAGACTACTGTAACTCTCTTTTCACGTGTCTGAGCAGAACCTCCCTGAACCGTCTACAGGTGGTTCAGAACGCCTGTGCTCGGCTTCTGACCAAGTCCTCCAAACACACCCACATCACCCCGCTTCTCCTCCAGCTTCACTGGCTGCCAGTCAACTTCAGGGTTCATTTCAAGATCCTGGTTCTGGTCTATAGGGCCTTACATGGACAAGCACCATCTTACATTGGTGATCTTCTTAGTCCCTACACCCCCAGCAGGTCCCTGAGGTCCAGTGACCAAAGCCTACTGGTTGTGCAGCACCAGGCTAAAGGTCAAAGGTGACAGATCACCTGCTGCTGTGGCCCCCAGACTCTGGAACTCTCTCCCCCTGAGCCTGAGATCAGTGGACTCAGTGGTCTCCTTTAAAAAGCAGCTGAAGACTCACTTGTTCAAGCTGGCTTTTGTATGACCTTCTTCACCTCTCTCTCTTTATTCTGCTCTCCCCACCTATTCCACCTTCCTCAGGATCCACTGGTTTCCCTCTTTCCTGTTCACTCTCTCTCTTTCTCAACATTTTTAATCACAATTGTCTATTTTTGCTCATTTTAAATATATTTTAAACATTTTCTAAATGCTTTTTTATATTTTTACATTTTTTGTTTTTGTGAAGCGCCTCCTGGTTTTTATCTTGAGAGGCGCTATAGAAATGATATTTTCTTCTTCTTCTTCTTCAATATAAGCGTAAATAAATGAATAAATGGAGGTCCCATCACTGCCATGCACTCTTAAACTTTACACATGATCTCTGACTTAAATGAAGCCGTTTGTGCCAGAACTAAAACATCTCTTACACCAAACCTCGGATCGGTCATATCTGAGTGAGAGGTGGAGAGCTCGGTGGGCGGTTCTGTATAATGTGTACACGGTGTGTCATCAAAAGCCAAAACTCAGTACCGATAATCTCAGTCGTTACGTTTTAACTCCGATAATGTCGGGCGTCCCTAAATTCGTCTGACTCCAGAAAAGATCGTGAGTAATTACCAAAAGGCAGAAGCTCCGTTTCCACCTGATCCCAGAACACCAAATATTCACTCACACCAAAAGATCCAGAATCAGATGGAGCTGCTAAATCTTAAATTACACTCTGGGTCAAAGGTCACACGTCTGAGCTGTGATTTAACTCCGCCTCTGCACATCGTACTCACACTCCCGTAGGTCCATCCCTGCTCGATGCGAGTTACCGCCCAAAGCTCGTGAATATTCTCAGCCAGCTTCTCCCGGATTCGCTCCAAGTGAGGCGGCAAAACAATCTGCACAGGAAAGGGAGAGGAACCAGTAAATCCCTGAACGGCATCCAGAAATCAGGCTTTAGTTTAGCGTCCACCTGCACGGTGTCCACGGGGCAGGGGGTGAAGGAGGTGTGGGTGAGGGACTGGGTCGGACCCAGGAGGTTACGGACGCCGTTGAAGTCGTGCTTGTACTCCTTGATGGGTTCGATGCGCATTCGTTCTCTTGGCAGCACAGCCTCGTAACACGGAGCGTAGCCCGGAGGGGGCATGAACTTAAAGTCGCCATGGCGACCACCGAGGAGGAAGCGGACCCTGAGAGGACAGAAACATGAATGGGTGCAGGTCACTTCCTGTTTCAGCTCGTGTTAGTTAGCACGCTGGAGTGGAGGTGAAGGCCGGTGTTAAGGCTTCTGCGTGAAAAGGTTAGAGAAATATTACAACAACCAAAAAAACCCAAAAGTTTCCCCAACTGACTTGACTCCGGCGGAGAAGCTGATGACCGGGAAGAAGAGACCGTCCACGTTAAAGTTCTCGAACATTCCCTGCACCGGATGGCCGTTGATACGGAAGGAGATACTGGGCACGCTCAGATCCAGGCAGCAGCTGACCACGTCGTCTGCCGCCAGCGTGTGAGCGCTGGGGGAGGCCACCTGGCGGGCCACCGTACCTGAACAGCAAAGCAAAATAAAAACACCTTCGCTAAACCACCGGCATCACGGAGTGTTTACGGTAAAATGGGATGGAAGGTTCCTACCTGACCACAAGTGCAGCCCGTCGAAGCCGTAGGAGTAGAGGTCATCTCCCACGCCGTTCCCCCCCCAGCCCTCTCCTCCTCCAGGGTAGGGGCTGTAGCCCTCCGTCATGGCCCAGCCCACCCTCAGGTGGGTCGCCTGTGACGTCACGAAGGGCTCCACGTAGTCCACGATCATCTCGTAGTACCACTTCTTATACTGAGTGGAACCCTCGCACGTTCCCAGGAAGATGTTTGGCCTCACGCTGAAAAGAAACAGAAGGAAAACCAACGTCTAGTCGGAGTTTCGTGGGATCATTCCAACCCAGGATAACGTTTATGTGTCCATATTATTTATCTCAGGAACCACTGGGCCGGTTCTGATCAAAGTCCTGTCACGGGTCCTTTGACTTCACATCTACTGAACGAATCGGCGAGCGATTTGTGGAGGTTGCCATGTTGTGGCACTCCGTTTGCAGAAGTTAGCAAGCTAATGTGACATTTAACCACTATGGGCTGTAGGCTGAGCCTTTCAAGGGTGACTTATTCATTTGCCCGTGAGAGAGTTAATAATGACTCGTGCAGGTGAGCAGACACTTTAAAAGTTACGCACAGAGAACATAGCAGAAGTAAAATAATCCATCAAGGAAAAGATTCCCATCAGAGCATCTGAGCACCATCTCACACTCGCACATGCTCCGCATCTCGCTGCTGCTGCCAGTGTGCTGAGGAGGAGCTCGGAGCGCGTCTGCAACACTCGTGCACAAGAGTGCTTCCAGGTCTGGAAAAGGGAAGTTTCACCAACCTCTGGGTGTTTCATGAGGAGAAATGTCCCCTCGTTTTCGGCTGAAGTAGCGCTGGTTATTCATGACCGGCTTCAGACCAGGAGTCTGTCCGAGGCGAGGCCTAGAGCCTCCCGACTACAACCCCTTCAGAAAACCTCGTCTGATGATGGACAGACAAGCAGGTGACGCGTTCAGGTTCACGTGGATCAGCAGGACGGTGCGTTCGGACGCTTAAACCCGCTGGTTATAGGTCACCGGGTCACTCAGGTCAGCTTGTTTGGACTAAATATGAATTAGAGAGAAATTAACCCTTTCATGCATGAATTATGAAAATCTTCAGCCAGGATCTCTTTTTACTAGTTTTTTCATTAAGTTTTATGTAAGAATGAAACTAATTTCAACTAAAACATGTTTTATATCTAATTTACAAATAATTTATTACATGTCTACATGACAGGACGTGAAGCATGTCGGCGTGACTCACTAGAGTCCAGCGGGGGCTAAAGTGAAGCTAAATGTGGTTAACAGCATCATAACTAGCTGTCCTCTGCAGTGACGTATGAATGAAAAGCTGCTTCCCACAGAGCGCCGACGGCTGTCTGACCGGGATCTGTCACGGCAGTAATGGTGACGGCTCAACTTCCAATTGTTTCATCAAACCGGTCTAACATCCCAGGTATAAATGGCCGCCACAGCCTTCGTAAAACACAAAAATGGCCGCTATTGGATCATTCATGCAGATACTGAGTGTACCTCACATCCCCCAAGTGATAACTGATCACATGTCTCTTGAAAGATGTGATGATAAACTTTATTAAATTTAAACGTAATGGGCGCAAAAATCAAGATTATAATTTCTCAGTTTGTTTTACACTCAGATTTATTCTCTTCTAACCAAGGGCGCCCCCAAGGGGTGGCCAGGGGTGGCCATGCCCACCCCCCCACCCCCAGGAAAAGCCAGTGTTAACAAATCATATTAATGTTCAGTCAAACCATATACTGATCTTGTTTATTCAAGAGATTATCATAAAACAAAAAACAATAATTAATGAGTAAAGACATAATCAGATACATGTTTCTGCTGCTCACCGTTTTAAAAACGTTTTTATCTCCATAGTTTTTTAACACAGTAACAGGTGAATTCACCTAAAAAAGATATTTTTAAATTAAATTTTGGGTAACGTTTTAAATAACTGAAACATATTTTTCTAAAATGTTTGTGTTTGTAAAATTTAAGTTAAATTGTTTTGGATACAGTCTGTTATTTTACATTAGTCCTAATATACAAGCAAGCAATAAAAATTATGGACCAGAAATCATTGAAATGGCATCATTGTCGCATTTTAAGGAAACATAATCTTCTCACTTTCGAAAATTTTATTAATTTTAGCACTCTGAGATTCTTTTTCAATTGTCTAAGTGATAACTTGTCTAAACTGTTCTCTACTGTGGCCGTCAGACGTCAGAGCTCTCATAGAACGATCACTCGAGCCTCCGCCTGCGGTGATTGTCTCGTCCCGCGGTGCAAGACTTCTTTTGGTCAGTCTGCTCTTTCTGTAAAAGGGGCCAAACTTTGGAACTGTCTACCTGCCGACCTAAAACTACAAATGGACAGTAAAGTTTTTAACAAAGAACTCAAAAAATGGTTCCAGTCTAAACAACAATGTCTACATGAATAGTTTTAAACTCTTACATTGCTGCTCAAATTGCCTTTTTTTATTCTTTTTTATTGAAAATTGTTTGTAATTTTAATCTGTTTTCTGTTTGATTTATTGTTGATCTCTTTGTATTTTATTTAAATGTACTCTACTTTTTAGAAAGGTTCTATGGACAAGTGTTGCAAATTAGCACGTGTGCTAACACACTAAACAACGCATCTGGTTCGTCCAGTGTAATTGCTGTGTCCATGTCAAATAAACATCACTGTAATAAAAATGAATAAAGAAGCAACGCAGCACGTCGCCACAGACTAAACTCACCCAGAGTTACCACAAGGACCAATTTGGTGTGCCACCCCAAAAGTTTCTTTGGCCCCATCAAAATTTTCTGTAGGCGCCCCTGCTCCTAACCTAAAACTATCCTGCTTTATCTCACATTCATGGTGAGTTCTTCAAAGCTCTAAGCTCCTGTGCAGGAACGCCTCCAGGTCAAGATCTCAGGGATTTGACTTTTGAGATGATCGTTTTTCCAGATCGAAACAAATCCTCGCCATAAAACCATCAAAGATGGCGGGCGATTTGCACTCCTGTAAGGACACTAACCTGGTGGCGTAGTTGACAATGTTGGTCTGCAGCAGGAGGTCTCGACCTGGTAGCAGGTTTTCTGTGATCAGGTTCTGATTGGACCTCACAGCTACACCGTTACACACACACAGAGAGCGCAGGACATCCAGAACCTGAAGGTGAAAGGACGACAAACGCGCATCACTTCTGGATTCAGATCAGCTCCAGACTTCCTGTTGCTCTCATTCTCATCTCAGTTTGATAACGACGGGCTTTCTAAAGACCAACCTTGTGGTTCCGTCCATGCTTGTCCAGAAGAGAGATGATGGACTTAATGTGGTTCTCCTGAATGATGTTTAGAACCTCGGGACTTTCGATCAGAACACAGTACAGAACCTCCAGAATCCCTGAAGGCAAACCGGAGAAACAACAGATCACTAACGGCATAAACCTAAAAGTCCTGATGAAAAATACAATCAGAGAGATTAAATAATAATAAAGGTGATTGAGGAGAGAACATCTTATCGTTAGCATCTCACCGCAGTGCGGTTGCTAGTGAACAACGCTAACTTCTCTGCTGTAAGAGTTTAACGCGTTTTTCTGTGCGGTGCGTTTAGGAGAAGCTCCTCGTGTTTGCTACTTGTCCTCAGCAGCAGCAGCAGCTCGGTCACATGTCCACTTTAAATGTTTGTTGCATTTTTTATTCAGCACCAATCCAGCCCAGAAACCCGGAGCTGCCTCAACGCCCAGACTGCAGGGCTAAGGAGGTTCGTGACTTTTCTAATGCTAGCCTGAGTAACACATTTATGCCAGGACTCAAATGTTTGATCAGAAGCAGTTATGATCACATAATTCCAGGAAATTCTGATGGATCCAGAGAGAATGGGTGAATTAGTGGAGATGAGATACCAGAGGAGGCCTCCAGACGATCCAGTTTACTGACCAACCAGTCCAGGTTGTCACAGAACAACGCACAGTTGGAGCGGTTCCCTCGGATCAGCGAGGCTGTGAGGTGGAAACAAAACAAACAAAAACAACAACATTTAAATCAGCCCAAGAATGAAACCAAACCTTTTATCTGTTATTTATTTTCATACCCAGCAGCTCGTAGAGGAGGTTGACAATCTCCTTCCAGGACTCGGCCGCCTCCTCGCCTGCAAACTCTGAGAAGTGAGCGGCGGTGTTGTAGACGTTCAGGCGGTCGATGCACTCCAACACGATGGTGATCATTCCCTGAGAATTACAGCCACAAAAAACGGGATCGTTATTCAACTCAAGGGTGTCGGACATGTCTAACAGCTGATCACTGGTCCCGTCGTGTCACTAACAGCTGATCACTGATCCCGTCGTGTCACTAACAGCTGATCACTAGTCCCGTCGTGTCTCTAACAGCTGATCACGGGTCCGGTTGTGTCTCTAACAGCTGATCACTGGTCCCTTCGTGTCTCTAACAGCTGATCACTGGTCCCGTCGTGTCTCTAACAGCTGATCACTAGTCCCGTCGTGTCTCTAACAGTGAATCACTAGTCCCGTCGTGTCTCTAACAGCTGATCACTGGTCCCTTCGTGTCTCTAACAGCTGATCACTGGTCCCGTCGTGTCTCTAACAGCTGATCACTAGTCCCTTCGTGTCTAACAGCTGATCACTAGTCCCGTCGTGTCTCTAACAGCTGATCACGGGTCCAGTTGTGTCTCTAACAGCTGATCACTGGTCCCGTCGTGTCTCTAACAGCTGATCACGGGTCCCGTCATGTCTCTAACAGCTGATCACGGGTCCCGTCGTGTCTCTAACAGCTGATCACGGGTCCAGTTGTGTCTCTAACAGCTGATCACTGGTCCCTTCGTGTCTCTAACAGCTGATCACGGGTCCTGTCATGTCTCTAACAGCTGATCACTGGTCCCTTCGTGTCTCTAACAGCTGATCACTGGTCCCGTCGTGTCTCTAACAGCTGATCACTAGTCCTGTCGTGTCTCTAACAGTGAATCACTGGTCCCTTCGTGTCTAACAGCTGATCACTGGTCCCTTCGTGTCTAACAGCTGATCACTGGTCCCTTCGTGTCTCTATCAGCTGATAACGGGTCCCATCGTGTCTCTAACAGCTGATCACGGGTCCTGTCGTGTCTCTAACAGCTGATCACTGGTCCCTTCGTGTCTCTAACAGCTTATCACTGGTCCCTTCGTGTCTCTAACAGCTGATCACGGGTCCCGTCGTGTCTCTAACAGTGAATCACTGGTTCCTTCGTGTCTCTAACAGCTGATCACTGGTCCCTTCGTGTCTAACAGCTGATCACTGATCCCGTCATGTCTCTAACAGCTGATCACTGGTCCCTTCGTGTCTCTAACAGCTGATCACGGGTCCCATCGTGTCTCTAACAATTGATCACTGGTCCTGTCGTGTCTCTAACAGCTGATCACTGGTCCCTTCGTGTCTCTAACAGCTCTGACACAGGTCCCGTCGTGTCTCTAACAGCTGATCACGGGTCCCATCGTGTCTCTAACAGCTGATCACGGGTCCCATCGTCTCTAACAGCTGATCACGGGTCCTGTCGTGTCTCTAACAGCTGATCACTGGTCCCGTCGTGTCTCTAACAGTGAATCACTGGTCCCTTCGTGTCACTAACAGCTGATCACTGGTCCCTTCGTGTCTCTAACAGCTGATCACGGGTCCCGTCATGTCACTAATAGCTGATCACGGGTCCCTTCGTGTCACTAACAGCTGATCACTTGTCCCTTCGTGTCTCTAACAGCTGATCACGGGTCCCTTCGTGTCTCTAACAGCTGATCACGAGTCCCGTCGTGTCTTTGACACCTGATCACTAGTTCCATGGTGTCTCTGACAGCTGATGACTAGTCCCATCGTGTCACTAACAGCTGATCACTGGTCCCGTCGTGTCTCTAACAGCTGATCACTGGTCCCTTCGTGTCTCTAACAGCTGATCACGAGTCCCGTCGTGTCTTTGACACCTGATCACTAGTTCCATGGTGTCTCTGACAGCTGATCACTGGTCCCGTCGTGTCTCTAACAGTGAATCACTGGTCCCGTCGTGTCACTAACTGCTGATCACTGGTCCCTTCGTGTCTCTAACAGCTGATGACTGATCCCGTCGTGTCTCTAACAGCTGATCACTGGTCCCTTCGTGTCTCTAACAACTGATCACTGGTCCCTTCGTGTCTCTAACAGCTGATCACGAGTCCCGTCGTGTCTTTGACACCTGATCACTAGTTCCATGGTGTCTCTGACAGCTGATGACTAGTCCCATCGTGTCACTAACAGCTGATCACTGGTCCCGTCGTGTCTCTAACAGCTGATCACTGGTCCCATCGTGTCTCTAACAGCTGATCACGGGTCCTGTCGTGTCTCTAACAGCTCTGACACAGGTCCTGTCGTGTCTCTAACAGCTGATCACTGGTCCCATCGTGTCTCTAACAGCTGATCACTGGTCCCTTTGTGTCTCTAACAGCTGATCACGGGTCCCATCGTGTCTCTAACAGCTGATCACGGGTCCTGTCGTGTCTCTAACAGTGAATCACAGGTCCCTTCGTGTCACTAACAGCTGATCACTGGTCCCTTCGTGTCTCTAACAGCTGATCACTAGTCCCGTCGTGTCTCTAACAGCTGATCACTGGTCCCTTCGTGTCACTAACAGCTGATCACTGGTCCCTTCCTGTCTGTAACAGCTGATCACTGGTCCCTTCGTGTCACTAACAGCTGATCACTGGTCCCTTCGTGTCTCTAACAGCTGATCACTGGTCCCGTCGTGTCTCTAACAGTTAATCACTGGTCCAGTCGTGTCTCTAACAGCTGATCACTGGTCCCATCGTGTCTCTAACAGCTGATCACTGGTCCCATCGTGTCTCTAACAGCTGATCACTGGTCCCGTCGTGTCTCTAACAGTGAATCACTGGTCCATTCGTGTCTCTAACAGTTAATCACTGGTCCAGTCGTGTCTCTAACAGCTGATCACTGGTCCCATCGTGTCTCTAACAGCTGATCACTGGTCCCGTCGTGTCACTAACAGCTGATCACTGGTCCCGTCGTGTCTCTAACAGTGAATCAATGGTCCATTCGTGTCTCTAACAGCTGATCACTGGTCCCATTGTGTCTCTAACAGCTGATCACTGGTCCCTTCGTGTCTCTAACAGCTGATCACGGGTCCCTTCGTGTCACTAACAGCTGATCACGGGTCCCTTCGTGTCTCTAACAGTGAATCACTGGTCCCGTCGTGTCACTAACAGCTGATCACTGGTCCCTTCGTGTCTCTAACAGCTGATCACGGGTCCCTTCGTGTCACTAACAGCTGATCACTGGTCCCATCGTGTCTCTAACAGCTGATCACTGATCCCGTCGTGTCTCTAACAGCTGATCACTGGTCCCATCGTGTCTCTAACAGCTGATCACTGGTCACTTCGTGTCTCTAACAGCTGATCACGGGTCCCGTCGTGTCTTTGACACCTGATCACTAGTTCCATGGTGTCTCTGACAGCTGATGACTAGTCCCATCGTGTCTCTAACAGCTGATCACTGGTCCCGTCGTGTCTCTAACAGCTGATCACTGGTCCCATCGTGTCTCTAACAGCTGATCACTGGTCCCGTCGTGTCTCTAACAGCTGATCACTGGTCCCATCGTGTCTCTAACAGCTCTGACACAGGTCCTGTCGTGTCTCTAACAGCTCTGACACAGGTCCTGTCGTGTCTCTAACAGCTGATCACCGGTCCCATCGTGTCTCTAACAGCTGATCACTGGTCCCTTCGTGTCACTAACAGCTGATCACTGGTCCCTTCGTGTCTCTAACAGCTGATCACGGGTCCTGTCGTGTCTCTAACAGCTGATCACTGGTCCCGTCGTGTCTCTAACAGTGAATCACAGGTCCCTTCGTGTCACTAACTGCTGATCACTGGTCCATTCGTGTCTCTAACAGCTGATCACTGGTACCGTCGTGTCTCTAACAGCTGATCACTGGTCCCGTCGTGTCTCTAACAGCTGATCACTAGTCCCGTCGTGTCTCTAACAGTGAATCACTGGTCCCTTCGTGTCTCTAACAGCTGATCACTGGTCCCTTCGTGTCTAACAGCTGATCACTGGTCCCTTCGTGTCTCTAACAGCTGATCACGGGTCCCATCGTGTCGCTAACAGCTGATCACGGGTCCTGTCTTGTCTCTAACAGCTGATCACTGGTCCCGTCGTGTCTCTAACAGTGAATCACAGGTCCCTTCGTGTCACTAACAGCTGATCACTGGTCCCTTCGTGTCTCTAACAGCTGATCACTAGTCCCGTCGTGTCTCAAACAGCTGATCACTGGTCCCTTCGTGTCACTAACAGCTGATCACTGGTCCCTTCGTGTCTCTAACAGCTGATCACGGGTCCCGTCGTGTCACTAACAGCTGATCACTGGTCCCTTCGTGTCTCTAACAGCTGATCACTGGTCCAGTCGTGTCTCTAACAGCTGATCACTGGTCCCGTCGTGTCTCTAACAGCTGATCACTGGTCCCGTCGTGTCTCTAACAATGAATCACTGGTCCCGTCGTGTCACTAACAGCTGATCACTGGTCCCTTCGTGTCTCTAACAGCTGATCACTGGTCCCTTCGTGTCTCTAACAGCTGATCACTGGTCCCGTCGTGTCTCTAACAGTGAATCACTGGTCCCTTCGTGTCTCTAACAGCTGATCACAGGTCCCTTCGTGTCTCTAACAGCTGATCACTGATCCCGTCGTGTCTCTAACAGCTGATCACTGGTCCCGTCGTGTCTCTAACAGCTGATCACTGGTCCCTTCGTGTCTCTAACAGCTGATCACGGGTCCCGTCGTGTCTTTGACACCTGATCACTAGTTCCATGGTGTCTCTGACAGCTGACCACTGGTCCCATCGTGTCTCTAACAGCTGATCACTGGTCCCATTGTGTCTCTAACAGCTGATCACTGGTCCCTTCGTGTCTCTAACAGCTGATCACTAGTCCCGTCGTGTCTCTAACAGTGAATCACTAGTCCCGTTGTGTCTCTAACAGTGAATCACTGGTCCCATCGTGTCTCTAACAGCTGATCACTGGTCCCTTCGTGTCTCTAACAGCTGATCACTAGTCCCGTCATGTCTCTAACAGCTGATCACTGGTCCCATCGTGTCTCTAACAGCTGATCACTGGTCCCTTCGTGTCTCTAACAGCTGATCACGGGTCCCGTCGTGTCACTAACAGCTGATCACTGGTCCCTTCGTGTCTCTAACAGCTGATCACTGGTC